GTTAAGCATCTGCCTTCAGCTCAGGTCATGATCCCAGGGTCCTGGGATCGAGCCCTGCATCGGGCTCCCTGCTCCGCGGGAAGCCTGCTTCTCCCTCTCCCACTCCCCCTGCTTGTGTTCCCTCTCTCGCTGTGTCTCTCTCTGTCAAATAAATCAAAAAAATAAATAAAATCTTTTAAAAAATAAAAATAAATAAAAATTTTGAAAAAGAGAATTAGTGACCTGACTTATTTAATAAGTAACTCAGTGATCAAATCTGTTACTTAAAGATACTATTTTTTATGAGAAGATCTCAAGTTATCACTTCAGTGATCATCATTTACAGGAAAATGTTCTCCTTAAGGGAGCTATGGGCCTGTTGGCAAGGTGAAGGTAGTGTTTGTATTTCTATGGCCTTCCCAGCAGCCAAAATACAGCAAGCGGTTTCTAAACAAGCTCTGTGCTGCAGGTGGGAACGGAGCCAACAAGCACCCTGACTAATGCAGGGCCAAAATTGGGGACATATTGGAGAGAAACCCATCGGCTTCCTCCAGGCAGCATGGGGGGACACTTGCCTGGGAGCAGGGCAGATGATTCCAGGATGTGTCTCTTGCCAGCCATGAACTCCAAGCCACAGGCCATGGGGCCAGGAAACAACGGTGGGCACTTGGGAAATTTCTGGGACTTTCTGGGCTATGGTAATTTCCCCACTCATCTTTCAGCCAGGCTGTTAGAAAACTTCTTCGAATATAAACACTCGAGCCTCCTTCGGCCCTTCAAAGAAAGGTTGACCCTGCAGCGGACCTACGAACATTAGAGAAAGCGCCACAGAGTCGCTTCCCTGGGAGACTTCTGGGCACATATCCCTCTTTGTTAGCTGTACAGAACACCCAAGTTTGCAGTTGGTAACTTTGGCTGCCACAGAGCCTTTGCATTTGTAGAGCATTTAGCTTATTGACCTAGATGTTCTCATGTTTAGGAATAAAAAAAGTAGTTTAATTAATTCACAATAAAAATCCTCCATTTCATAGAAGATAAAACTCATATAACCCAAACAGAATTGAATGTGTGATATGATGCAGTCATCAGCATGCAGCAGCCTTAAAAATGACAATATCTGACCTTAATATGTGTGACTCTATCAGGATTCCATTGTCGACATGTATATTTTTCAATATTCTTCTCTGAGCTGAAATCATGTCATTTATATGCAAATGACCACATCTTCAGCAGCTGCTGCTTCTCCGTTGAAGCTGAGGGACTTATTTGCACTTAATAAAGCCTCATAAATAGGTTTTGCCTCTAAAAGGGTGGGGGAGCAGGAAACCCATCGTAGCCTTTTACAGTTACAAGCTTCTTTTTGTTTTGAAAGCTAGCGGCCACCCCTAACAGGATGGTTCTCAGTTGCCAAAGAAACACCCGATCCTCACCCAGCCAGTTCTCCTCCTTCCCTCCTTAGAAAACAGGTGTTAGTGTCCTTCACGGGGCCTTCTTCCATTGAAGCAGGAGGCAATGCCCAATCTCCAGCAGGGGTTGCGATTTAATCCCAACTTCAGTGCAGGGAGGGCTGCCCTGTGAGCAGAACCTCTTGCCAGGCAGTAAGAGCAGGTGCCCTGCTCGGGGAAGAACCCCTCAGGCCCCCTCAGGCTGTTCTGAGTGAGGGGAAGAGGAGCTGAGGAACTTCTGGGCAAGCAGAGGAGAATTTTTCCTTTTATGAGTTACCAGTTTCCCTTTTAAAACACTCTACACAGGGGCACCTGGGTGGTTCAGTCAGTTAAGTGTTCGACTCTTGATCAGGTCTTGATCTCAGCGTTGTGAGTTCAAGCCCCTCATTGGAGAGCCCAGCATGGAGCCTACCTAAAGGAAAAAACAAAACAAAACAAAACAAAAAACAAAAGCACTCTACATAGAGAAGGGGCAAGATTGGGGATTGTTTGTATGCTCTGATGGCCCAATCAAACAGCATTAAGACAACATTAAACACACCTTCATTCATGTGAATAGTACACAGCATCTCTCCTCCCCCCACCCCACTCCCATCTTCCTAGCTGGCCATTCTTTTTCAACAGAATTGGATGACAAAGGAAGATGGTATGAATCCACCCATTTTCTTTTAACGCTCCTATAAAACCACCCAGGCTTCTACTTTGGGGTCAACAGAAACATTTAACTTACCATTGAAGATCATTTAAAACATACTGAAAAAAAAAAAAGAAGAAGAAGAAGAAGACTATTATGGAATAATTGTCTCCTGCTGTTAGATGCTAAGACAAACCTGAGGCACTTATGAAAAATAAATAATGATGGGAAACAGGGCATTTATTTTTAAAGCACTGTGTTGCTGATTTGGTAATAATGACCTATTATCCTTGTCAGAGTAATAGACTGTTCCTGGAGCTTCATTTCTGGTGTGTGAGCAACTGGCATAGTAGAGATGATTATACTGTCTGATAAATGTGTATAATCATCAAAGACACTGGTTGACAATACTGTCATTAAATTGTCACCAGCTTAGCAGAGAGACAAACATCCCTACCACATCAACCTATCAGAGATGTTTATAACTGCAACAACATCCAAGCACGATATTAGTGCAGATAACTGAAATCACACACCCTCAGAATCCAGCCACGAGGATCAATGTGTGGCCAGGAAGGAGATGGAAGGGGAGATATCTGGCCCTTGCATCAGGAGAGCTGGGCTCCCCTCTCTAAGCCTCAGTGTCATTCATTTTAAAAATAGAGCTATCTGTCCTCTCCATCTCACAATAGTACTATGAGGATCAACATTTTAAAAGATATAAAATACAAGGGCATCTGGGTGGCTCAGTCATTAAGTGGCTGCCTTCAGCTTAGGTCATGGTCCCAGGGTCCTGGGATCGAGCCCTGCATCGGGCTCCCTGCTCCGCGGGAAGCCTGCTTCTCCCTCTCCCACTCCCCCTGCTTGTGTTCCCTCTCTCGCTGTGTCTCTCTCTGTCAAATAAATAAAATCTTAAAAAAAAAATAGATTCCATCTTTTTCATACGAGGTTGTTCTTGATGTATTTAAGATTTTATATTGGCTTACTTTTTAAAAAAATGTGATAAAATACATTTAATATAATTAAATTATATATAATAATATATAATTATATGATAAATATATATATTACCATCTTAACCTTTTTTTTTTAAGAGAAAGATATAGAGTGGTGGTGGGGGGCGCCAAGAGAGAGGGAGAGAGAAAATGTTAAGCAGGCTCCAAGCCCAGCACAGAGCAAAAAGTCAGATGCTTAAGCAACTGAACCAACTGAGCCACCCAGTTGCCCCCCATCTAAACCATTTTTAAGAGTACTAATCAGAGACGCCTGGGTAGCTCAGTCTGCTAAATGTCTGACTTCAGCTCAGATGATGATCTCAGGGTCCTGGGAGCGAGTTCCGCATTGGGCTCCCTGCTCAGTGGGGAGTCCACTTGTCCCTCTCCCTCTGTTCCTTCACCTCCCCCCCGATCTGTGCTCCCTCTCTTTCAAATGGTTAAATAAAATCTTTTTTTTTTTTAAAGAGTACAATTCAGTGTTGGCTATATTTGTATTGCTGTGCAACCATCACCACCATCCATCTCCAGAACTCTTTTTATCTTGCAAATCTGAAACTTTGTACCCATCAGATAATAACTCCCCTCTCCCCTCTATCCCTTCAGACCCTGGAAATAATCGTTTTACTTTTTTGTGTCTATGAATTTGACTACTCTAGATGCCTCATGTGTGGAGTCACACAGTGTTTGTCCTTTTGTGTCTGGCTTATTTCACCTAGTATCATGTCCTCAAGGTTCATCCACATTGTAGCATGTGTCAGAATTTCCTTCCTCTTTAAGGTTGAATAATAATCCATTGTATGTATATATGACATTTTTAATCCATTCATCCACTGATAGATAGCTGGGTTGCTCTTATTTTTTGGCTATTGTAATATTGCTATGAACATGGATAAACAAATATCTCTTTGAAATTCTGCTTTAATTTTAAAAAAAGATTTTATTTGTTTGACACAGAGAGAGAGAGGCAGAGAGAGAGCATAGGCAGGGGGAGCAGGAGAGGGAGAAGCAGACTCCCCGCTGAGCGAGGAGCCCCATGTGGGGCTTGATCCCAGAACCCTGGGATCATGACCTGAGCCGAAGGCAAATGCTTAGCCAACTGAGCCACCGAGGTGCCCCAAACCTTTATATATGTATTTTTAAGATTTTATTTTTAAGTAATCTCTACACCCAACGTGGTGCTCGAACTCACAACCCCAAGAATAAGAGTTGCATGCTCAACTGACTGAGCCAGTCAGGTTCCCCTTGAATAAAACCTTTAAAAAAATAATAAGCTGCTTGGACGTGTACCCTATACACTGCTTACAGAGTTTGATATTTGACTAAAGTAAAAGAATAGAATTTTGTATCCACAAAATTCCATACTGTTCTATATTTAGTCTGTTGTTTGGGCCATATGAGAATTTTTGAATCCTAGCATTCTTTCACTAATCAGTATGCTGCAGATATTAGCATAAAAGTCATTATTGAAAATGCTGAACAATTTAGGACTGAGGGGCCAACCTCTAAGTTATTTGTCCCAGAAACCTTCCTCTGGGGTTATGAAATTTCTTAAGTAGCACCCTTAGGATTACTCAACAAGTTAAAAATCTTCCTACCTGGAACAGCCAGCGCATAGTTCTTTCATAAGGGTATCATGAGATTCTTGGTGAGGCTGAAATCCCAATACTCTTTGTCTATAAAATCCCCCTGATTTCCAGTATATACATACCCCTTTAGAAAAGGAAAATGCATTTAGGTTGGCATGACCTTACCAAACCTACACCACTCCTAGCGATCACTATTTACACTGGAAACTGGTAAAACCATCTTTAATATAATTAGTTCTAGGTTTATTGATTACTTATTCACAATATTTGGTCTTTCTTCATAATTTCTTAAAGACTTCTGTTGTGATTTCAACTATTTAGTCTATAAAAATAGTAATGATACAAGAATAGCTACTGTGCATTGAGTATTTATTATGTGCCAGGTACTGGTTAAAGTGCTTTATGTTGAATTGTTCCCTTGTCCTATGAGGTAGACTATTATCCCAATTTTTACAGAGGAAGAAACTGAAATTTGGACTGTTACTGTTAAGTAACTTTCCAGGAGAATAAAGTAGATGCTAGGTGTATCTGACTCCAAAACCCATTTTCTTAATCTATTATATTACCTTCCCTTGGGATGCAATGGTTCAGATGTGGAATCTTGGACAAGCTGGGGCTCCAGTCCTTTTTACTAACATTTATTCCATTCTTTCCAGTCAATCTTCCAGTCTTCTTTCCCAGGGGAAAAAAAAAAGGTAGTAAAATAGGAGTGGAGAAGTTCTTTTCTTCACTGCTACTATAAGCTAACTTAGCATCAGTATTTTCAAGCTGGGGCTTTTTCCTTCCCAGAACTCCCCGTGCTCTAAATTTTTAATTTTCTTTAGCATTTTTACCTGTTTCTGGACATTTGTCTTCCTCTAAGACTTGAGTTACTCCAAGACCTTGGGTATGTGTCAGCCCGTTCACTGTTCATCCATGTCCGTCAGAAAACTTGCTATCCAACTAAAAGTTTGCTACCTCACTGGATTCCTCCAGCTTTTCTTCCTCACTGGGACCATTGCAATGGTCAGAATCCAAATGTGCACTTATTATTTTCATTGTTTGCTTTTCTTCTAACGGAGTCACTATCATGTCATCAGTTAACAGGCGTTTCCATTGGCCCCATCAGAACTGTGCGCTTTAGAGAAAGCCAAGCTTGCACCACACAACCTGCCCATTCTCTGACTGCATTTGGCAATAGCACTTGGCTTGGTGTCGTATGTGATATACACATTTCTTCTTGCAAACTCTCCCTGCAATTTCAAGAATTTGCTGGGGTGGCACACTCAGAACATCAAGAAAACAACAAATCTGCCATGGCTTTGTCATATAGAAAATTTTCTGAGTGATAGGCAGGGAAGTTCTGATGTGGAGTGGAGGTTAACAGCTTGGGCTTGGAGTAGGGATGGTGCCATTTCTTCAGCTTTACTTTCCTCGTTAAAAGTAGGGATGGTAAGCATGGGATAATAGGATAATGTTACATAACGGATGTAAGTGCTCCTTAGCACAGTGGCTGTTCATAGTACCATTTTTTTTAATTTCTCCGCCCCATGTAAGATTTTGATCAGCTGCTCTAAGCTCCTTCCCATTCTACCCTATTAACCCAATGGCATATCCTGTCCAGGCACTCCCAGTGAAGACACTTAACCACTTTCTAAAGGCTTTGTGGACATTTTCCTCATCCTCTAAGTGGTTCATGCTTGTTTAATTTTGAGTACAGAACAGAGGCCAAGTTGATTAAAAGACACTGTTTATGGTTGAAAATATCTTTTTAGAAAATATCTTTGGGGTTTAAAACCCTAGGAGAGGGGAATTAACTCATGACAGGATTGATTTCTTCTCACATTTAGGAAGCCCCTCACTCACTTTCCATTTCTCTAAAGGCCTCAGAATAAAGGAGCTAGCAAAGTGAGCTTTGATGAATAAAAGGCAAAGGAAGAGCTTCTGCTGTGGTGCTTCCCTGGTTTACGTCATAGCTCGGTCTTGGATTATAGGTGCAGTTTGGGAAAGTCATTTCAATTCAACTAAAATGACATCAGTGTAGCTCTGTGCCATGAGCCCAAAGGTGGCACATTAGTTTCCCTTGCTGCTATAACAAATCACCACAAACTCTGGCTTAAAACAACACAAATTTATTACTTATATGTCTAGAGGTCAGAAGTCCAAAAATCAGTGTCACTGGGCTAAAATCAAGGCGGTTTGACTTTAAAATCCAGAGCTACATCTCTTCTGGAGGCTCTAGGGGAGAATCCATTTCCTTGACTTTTCCAGAAGCCGCCTGCATCCCTTGACTTGGGGCTCTTTTTCCCATCATTGAAGCTAGCAGTGTAGCTTCTTCAAATCTGTCTCCCTTTCTTTCTCTCTCTGGCCTTTGCTTCCATCCTTCCATCTCCTTCTCTGACTCTCTTGCTTACTTCCTTCATTTATAAGAACAGCTTGTGAGTACATGCGGCCCACCTGGATGATCCAGGATATTCTCCCCATCCCAAGACCCTTAACTTCATATGTTCAAGGTCCCTTCTGCCATGTAATTTGACACATTCACGAATATGGGAGATTAAAACATGAGTATCTTTGGGGGCCTTATTTTGCCTACCACAGGTGTATATTATACATTCTCTCCTCAGTCATAGGACCCAGATATTATCAGTCCCAGTTTATATTTGGCAGTCAGTACTTCAAATGGAACAAGTTGGCATTCAAAGAAGCTGAAGTTAATCAAATAAAAAGCAGGTATCAGCATGCACTTTATCACATCACCAAGAGAATCAAAACAGTATGATAGTAAATTTGACTTCTTGTCATGTTGAATTCCTCTTTTGGTGCTATGTTCAGAAAGAGGCAGTATTGTTATAATGCAATTTATATAGTGCCTTCCCCTGAGTGATGAACAGAATATTCCTCAGGATCCTCAGAGAATTAGTCTATCTCTTTTTATCCCAGCTCAGCCACTCCAGCAATATAATATGCTGCAATATTATATCTGTGTGCAAGAAATAAATCAGACTCACAATATTTAAAGATGTTCACTTAAAGAAATTCCTTTTGGAGTTCCTTTTTTTTCCCCCCCTTTCATTTGAAAATGTTCTTTGGGTAGTATAGAGCCATTGACCCACATTAGATTAATTAGGTCAATTAGCCTTTATGCAGTAATTGCCACTCAGGTGGCTTTGAATAATTCCCTTTTAATAAAGACGTGCCTTGAAAAGAGATTATAACTTAAATTCCTGCCACACAGTAGCATTAAGAAAACATGCATTTATCAGTTCTTTCTGCAATATGGCTTTGGGTATAGGAATGATATTGGGTAGAAAAAGCTTAAGGACTTTACCTTGATGAGTTGATTATTCACATTTACACATTATTAAAAAGCCACAGGTGTAGTTTCCGTTTGGACAGGCAGTTGGTAACCCTGAACACTGAGCCTAATTCAGAGCAACTCCCTCTCTTCTTCCAAACTGTCAATATTAATTTTCCACATTTTCAAACTCACGCTGGCCCTAGCATCTAATCTTGGACTCTTACCGGTGATCTGGACTATCTGAAATTTTTTGCTTTCTGCTTCTCTCCTTCAACATCCTCCCCATAGCTTATGTTAATATGACAATAGCTATCACTTAATGAGTATTTTCTAGGTACCAGACATTTCACATTCATAATTGCTAATTGTTACTTTAACTAACAAATATTTGTTGAAATATTTGCTCTAGATCCTGGAGATACAGCCCAGTGAGTATCTTTATCTCTGTGTAATACTTAGGAAATAGAGACAGAGAAGTTTAGTGACTAGCCTAAGGCCCTGCTGCACATGCGTTTGGACAAGGCCCCTAGTCAGCCCGGCTCCACAGCCCAGCTCACCCACCCCACCAGGCTGGAATTGCTGTCTGATTTGGAGGCCATGTTTGAAAACGAATTCAACTGTTGCCAACGAGGTCAGAACATTCCAAAAATAATAAAAGGCACATTAGAAATGAGGTTGAAAAATAGACAATTCCCAACTACTTAGAACACAGATCCCAGCTATTAGTAATTAAAGGCTTTAATTTTTTTAGCTTCAAGATTCTGATGCCTGTACAAAAAAGCTGATATACTCAGTAAGAGTACCCATGTAAATGGGATGAGGGGTAGTTCTAGTTGCATCCTTTCTGCTTTCTCTTGCTCTAGTTCACTCAGTCCCTGATATATAGGTCAGACCAAGCGAGTGCTACATCGTCAGCTGTGTAATGACATTAACATGGTTTGTAGTCTTTGATCTCCCACTGCAGGGGAAGGACTCTGTGAGTAAATTAATTCTATTGATGAGATCTGGACATTTGAATGGCCTGGAATATGGAGATTCTTTTGTTCCTGGTTGTTGGTTTTTGTTTGTTTGTTTGCTTGTTTAAGATTCATTTATTCATTTGAGAGGGAGAGGGGGAGAGAGCACGGAGGGGCAGAGTTAGAGGGAGAGAGAAACTCCTAGCCAACTCCGCACTGAGCGCAGAGCCCCTGTGGTGCTCCATCTCATGTCCCTGAGATGGTGACTTGAGCTGAAACCAAGTGTCTGAGGCTTAACTGACTGCACCAGCCAGGTGCTCCTGTTGGTTTGTTTTACAAGTGTTTTAAGCTTTAAAACCTTGTGAGAATCAGAAAGTTTCATATTAGAATGTAAAAATGGCATTTCTGGAAGGCAATTTGACAATTTGTTTCAATAATTTAAATGTGCATTTCTACTGAAAGGCAAATAGATAAAGATATATGTATAAGAATGCTAATTGTAACATTAGTCATTAAAAAAACTGGAAAAAAATCTAAATATACATCAGTTGGGTAGTCATTAAATAAGTTGTACAGATCCATGCACATAATACATTAAAAATGATTTATATCAACCAATTTATATTATACTCTTAAATGAAAATAAGATTAAAAAGCAGATTATAATCCCACATTAAAGCCTGTGTGTGTGTGTGTGAGAGAGAGAGAGAGAGAGAGAGAGAGATCTGGATGGCTATACTCCAAAATACCCACTGTCATTATTACTAAGAAATGGGATTGAGGGTGATTTTAAATTCTTTGTACTTCTGTATTATCTGAAATTTCTTCTTTTACCCCCATTTCCTTCTTAGATCACTCAAACCACCCCCTACTGACCACTATGCTAATGCATTTGATGTAAATCTTTTAGTTTGTTTGTAGTTCTACAAAATTTTTTTTTATACAGATATTTTAAATTTACCTAGATGGTATCACATTCTGTTTCTTACATTTTCCACCTAATACTCTGTGTTTTAGATCTATGTTGCTACATGTACAAGTCTATTGCATGTAACTGCTGAATAATTTTTATAATATAGCTACTATAAATAAGCATGAGCTTTCATAATCAGAAAAAAATCTAGCAAAGCTCTTTTTATTGTGAAGAAAGAAAGAAAACAATCTCTCTTCTAACATAAGAGCATGAAGCCATAAATTGTTTTACATAATTTTGCCACAAAAATATCCCAATGGAGAAATATTTATTACACTGGCGATTCTATTTTACTAAACACCTCTACTTTATAAAAGTGCTTGGACACATGGAACTCTTTTCTATAAATACAGAAAATTTAAAGAGAAAAGAGAATATTTCTTTCTGTGAAGTCTCTGAAATGCTTGACTTATTTTAGGAGGCAAAAATTTCAAAAGACAAAGTTATTTTGAAACTGAAAAGTAGTGAAATGAACTCATTACAGTGTGTTCTCACTATATATTAAAAATGAAATTAAAATCATTTAAAATAAAAGAAATATGACATTGTAATGCAAACAGAAATTGAGGAAAATCCCAAAAGGATAGGAAATAGTTGGTTGATGGACAGCACAGGAAAATGAAAAGACAATCAGAAGAAGTAATAAAGCCTATTGGGAAAAACCTGAAATTTATATATTGAAAGTTCATAATTTTTAACATAAAAATCTAATAATAACTGCTAATCCCTTTTCTTTCTTTAAACTTTAATTTAAGGATAAAAATAGAACCTCAAGGGTAACTTTATTCAGTCATATTTTTTATAAGATAGATATCAAGTACTCTCAGTAGAAGTTTGTGTTTAACTTTCAAACTTTTCTTCAAAACAATATATTCCTAGATAAGAGATGTGAAAAAAATCACATATAACTTATATTATGGGGAAAAAATACCAAGATGAGAGTCATATTCCAAGCAGATATGACTGAAGTATTGTGATCCCAGAAAAGGTCACAAATCACTGTGTTTCTTCTCTTTCTTATTTAGGCTAGTTTTCACTGATAGCAGCAGAGAAGCTTTATAACACAGCGCTGGCAGACAAAACCAAGTTGCCCTTATTAAGAGGATTTTGTTAAAAGCAGGGCCTCCTTTTTTTCCTCTCTCTCTCTCTCCAAAATATTGGGTTTCAGAATGAAGTCATTGAGCTAGGGAAGATAAGTAGCCTTTAGGGGAGGCAGGTCAGAAAAGGAGATTAAAGTACAAAAGCTTAAGTGTGAAAACTAAAAAAAAAAAAAAAAAAGTGACCTGAAGTTTCAGAGTCAAACGGGAAGAAAAGATGTCTACTCATGTTGATAGGGGACCTGCACAGGGAAAAGGTCTCACCCAATGATCAGATAATCTATGGAAAAGGTCATAGTAGCCTTGCTTCTCTGGAAACTAGAGTTAAACTGGAGACAGAGACCAGAGGATGTGTCTTGGCTAAGAGCCCTCTTGAATTTGCCTTAAATTCTCCAACAGAAAAACTCTAAAGATTAGGGGAAAACATGGATTTTGATGATTTGATGTAACTTTAAAGATGTAGTATTTCAGTATTTCAGTCTAGACAGAATGGCATTAATGATTATGCAAAGGGTTCTCCAATCACATAAAGTTCAAGCTTTGTAACCTTTGGCAATTTATTTAACTTCCTCATGTATAAAATCTATGTACATAATGGGAGTATTTACCTCATCGGACTATTGAAGGGATTGAATATGCCATCCATAAGTCATAGGGCAAGGTCCAGCATATAGTACATATTCAGTAATGTTGGCTAGTACTGGTAGTAGATATGATAGGAATTTCTTTTTTATTTTTTTTATTTTTATTTTATTTTTTTTTAAGATTTTATTTATTTGACAGAGAGAGATAGCGAGAGCAGGAACACAAGCAGGGGGAGTGGGAGAGGGAGAAGCAGGCTTCCCGCCGAGCAGGGAGCCCGATGTGGGACTCGATCCCAGGACCCCGGGATCATGACCTGAGCTGAAGGCAGACGCTTAATGACTGAGCCACCCAGGCGCCCAGGAATTTCTTTTTTAAAAGGAGGTATGTTTACCATTTGAGCATTTATCTGATGACTGGGATCCAGATCTGAGTTTCTACACCAGTTAATGTTAGTATGTTGTATGATTTTTAATAGATCAATCTGAAGATGTTAGTTCTTACTAATAATATTAGGAAATGAGGCTTCTTTCACAAATCTATCACTATTGATAATATTTTGGGTCCAAGTTTCAGTTAATAAGCTCAAGTATGCAAGAGATGTTTTAATTTCTATTTCAAGCCCCCATTCCACTAGATGTTGGGAAAACAATCTCAGTCAATGCAGTTTCCCCTCCCCTAATACTGGGATTGAATGTATGTTCCGGGGGACTATTACCTGTTGTCGGTTGTCATCATCTCTATGCTACTATCTGGTGAAGCACATCTCCTGGTCCTGACTGGCAGTCCATGAAGTTTACAGCTGCATCCTCCTTGTGTTGGACACTAGTTTCTGTGACTTTTGGGAGATTGAGAGAAAGAATGGGGCACCAAAAGGCCCTGCCTCATCCCCACAGTAGCCTCTGACTCATGGGAAATGCTTCTGCTACTCTGCATGCTCTCCTGGGGGCACGGAGGCTACCTCAGTCTCCCTTTTTAGCTCTAACTTACCACACCACTATCTCGACCCTATTGCTCCTGTGCCATTGGCATGGGGGAGTGGGGAGAATTCTGGAGTCTTGCCACCTTCTCAAAGTACACTGGAAAAGTGACATTCTTTCTGCTCTCAAATTTCTAAAATTATGCAGAGAGGAGTGTTCTCTTTTTTCCTAAACCTTACCACACTCGACTTTAGAATAAATCCAAGAGAAAGCTGAGCCCAGGTTTTTTCTCAGGTACCCAGCATCTGAGCTCTTTTCTTTTCCTCTGACTTCTCTCCTTTTCCCCAAGTCTAGAGAATCTTCAGTCTTGAGGACAGGAAAAACAGGTTTTGATCCATCAGGTATTTTTCCAGTTCTTTTGTCTCAAGTCTGGATCTTAGATCTGAGATGTTAAAAATCAAGGATTTGATAACCCTTCCTTGAGGAACGTCTACTTCATAGTCTAGCTGCCTCAATGAAGGAGGCAACAGGAAAAAAAAGAAAAACAACAAAATAAAAACAACCAACAACATTGGTTAATACCTAAAAAATACATCAAAGTAGGGAGGGATGTATGTTCTATCGTTTCCATCTAAAACTACATTTTAAATACTTTAACTTTCCATAATGAATAAAAAAGTCTTCCAACTAAAATATTTTTCTTTAGTTAGAAACATTATTATTTTATACACTGTTGATAAGTGCTTGATTTTGTAATTTCCTTTCAGCCCAAATTGTAAATATTAATTACATACCTTATATGCATGTAAATGATCCTAACTCCAGTCTGCTAGATGCGGATGACTCATTTCTTTAGTTCCTTTATCCCCTTGTTTTCTCCTTCCAGAATCTGCCAATATGTTACCTCTGTGACCTTTTGCTCTTCTCCAAATTTACTCCATCCTCTAACTTCATTCTTTTAATAATCCACTACCCAAAAGAATGTGTAGCTTTCCTTTTCATAAATTTGACTATGTATGCATGTTACCTCCTTAAGAAGTCCAGACACTACAAATCTTACATAGAGTCTAGAAAAACTTGCTGATAATATAATTTGATGGTGATGATATTAATTTTTTAAAAACCTTGGGGTGCCAGGGTGTCTCAGTCAGTTAGGCATCCGACTCTTGATCTCAGCTCAGGTCTTGATCTCAGTGTCATGAGCTCAAGCCTTGCCTTGTTCTCCACGCTGGGTGTGGAGCCTACTTAAAAAACAAACAAAAACCAAAAAACCTTTGATAACTTTAAAAGTCCTATATTTTTGTTGCATTGTGATCATTGTTACCTGGACCACTGATGGGTCCCTTGAAACATGACCTGCTCATATTCATCTTTCTAAGACTAGTTCATGACATAAGAAGTAGTATAAAACAGCTGTTCAATCACTATATTCAATGAAAGAACAGTAAGATATTTGGTCATTTCAAACACTAATGCATAGCAAGACCATTCTAATCTACATACACCATAAACTACAATACTTACGTGCGCAGTATTTCAAAACTGTTAAGTATAGCAGCAGCT